TGCTGCTTTCCTGCAGGGCCTTGCCTTGCCTAGCCCTGCCTGTTTCTGCCTGACTTACCCTTCACTGGGCTTGCCTTCCTGTGACCAGCCTTGCCTAGAACTTCTGGGCCTGCTCCTGCCTACCCCTCCATTTGCTTTCCTCTCCCCGCTCTGACCTTGCCTACCTGTACCTTGACTTGCCCACAATTTCCTACACTTGCTTTGCAGTGCCTTGCCTGCCTGGAAGGCAAGACAAAGAGCAGTAGGCAAGGCAAAGCAAAGCCAGGAATCCCTTGGTAGGGCGAGGCAAGACTGACGTCGGCAAGGCAAGCAAAGCAAGGGTAGGCTATGAAAACTAGGCAAGGTACTGCAAGGCATGGCTGAGAGCCTCGGAGTGCCTTTCCTCAGGAAGCAAAGGACATAGTGCAGTGTTGGTAGGGCAGATATTAAGGTACCATGGGAAGGTGTAGTCCAGCAAGACATTTCTGTCCTGGCCCCTTCTGTTGGACATTGTTGGACATGTTCAATACTGGAGACATGGTATGCAACTTCTGCTTGCTAAGCTCCTGAACGAGAATGGCAATGCTTTTTTGTGGGAAGGAAAGCAGGTAACCCAAGCGTCGGAGGTGCAGATAAGAAGCTGTGTAGTGCAGGTCAACGGCACAGCAACTTTCTGTCCTGGAATATTTGGTGTGAAAGCACTGCCTCAATGTGTACAGTTATGGAGACGGTATCCGTCTTTGGAAGATGGTCTCCTAAAAGATTCAATTTGGCATGTAGCTCCCACTTCTCAGAGGTGACCTTCTTGAAATTCTGGAAGCACATTTCTTTGGGACAAGGTAAGCAGCTACGCTGGGTCTTGGTGTGCAGCGGATCTAGAGCCCCGGGCAGGTAATGCCCAGTAACAGTGTTCTGGCACTTTTGTATGGGATCAGTCACTGGAAGTTTTGTATTTTGGAGGAGGGGACGCCATTTCTCTTGAGATGGGCTTCTAGTTCCTCCCTTTGGCAAAGAAAACAAGTTTGGATGCACACTTTGGGTGGGCTTAGTGAATGTAAAGGCTTTTCTCAATAAGCAGTGCTCTGGGTTAGAACTGTTGAACTGTCAGTGGGAATGGAGAAGCCAAGCTGTTGGAGCTTTCTGTCCTGTTAGCCTTAGTGTGTGAGCAGTCCCCAGTCCCGTTCCATTTGGACCCTGACTCTGTGAGACTGAAGGCTTAGGATGGTACCTAGAGCTCAGAAGGAAAGCGCTGATAGCAGGGTGTGTGCTGCTAACTTGATGGGTGCAGCTGAAATTGTAGGCAGCAAGAGCTTTTTCAGCTGGCTTTTTCTGTGAGCTCCGTTTTTGCCAGATGTTTTCAAGTTTGTTAGCAGACTCTGTGAGAGTGAAAAGCTTTGTTGGGTGAACAAATTCGTGTTGCCCTTTGAGTGGGGTGCAAAGAAGAGTATGCACTTGGAAGTGGAAGATCAGCCAAACGTTTTTGTCCTGGCACAGTCGATTTGAGAGCAGGGACATTTCAGACTTGGCTCTGCCCTGAGGGTCGCTTTTAAGCTGGACTGGGTGCGTGTCCTCCTTTTGCAAGTCGACACCACCATCGTGTGGTTGTTTTATGAGCACTGACAGTGCCCAGGACAAAGCCAAGCGCTTCTCTGGCCCGGCCCCATTCCTGTGGGAGCAGTTCTTGGAAGAGCTCCGCTGTGGATCCTGGCTCTTGGGCACTGACAGAATATGATCCTGCGTATGGCAGGGAAGGAAAAGGAATTGTTTCATTGTTGGCTGAGCAGTTTATTGGCTTCAAAAGAAAAGGCGATTGCAGCACAACCTCTTCCTTTTAGAGCCTTTTCCGTGCAATCAGCTGTTCAACATGTGCACCCCCTGAACTGTATCCACCGCCCTGGAAACATGCACTTTCTCTCAAGCTCTATGTACCATGCTGCCCTCTCATACTCACAGACCCCAAACCCCTTCAAAACATCCAGCAGCTGCTTGCAAAAAAAGTCCTTCAGCAAAAAGCCTGTGCTGGCCTTCATAGTCCTTATGCAGTCTGTAAACTAGACAAAACACACCAGTGTTCACACTTCCCTTCTCAACTACAAATTCTCAACTTCCAGAATTTCAAGAAGGTCACCTCTGAGAAGTGGGAACTACATGCCAAATTGAATCCTTCAGTAGCATCAGCACAGTCAGTCAAAGCATTTCCAGCTGAAGCTCAGACTGAAAGATCTGCCAGGGGACAAGGCATCTGCTAACCTTCCCTTTTCCCTGAGAAACCTGATATTCACAGTGCAATCACTTTCACACAGCTTCAGTGCCACCGAGTCCAAGCAGCTCACAGAAAAGTAAATCTCATGACAGAAGACATTCCTAACATAGCCATTTCTCCTGACAGCATTTAAATTGTGCAGAGCATACTGGGGCAAGGCCTTCCTTCTCACATATATGTCCCGGCACATTTTCCTGTGGGAGATGTCTCTCTGGATTTTCAGTCCTTGGGAGGCTGCAATGTGCACGGTGGTGCGTGGGGCTGAGAGGGACTGTGCAGAGAGCACGGCGATCTGACGGCACTGTGCACGTCAGGAAGGAAAGCAGACTGCACCTTGAATGTGGTGCAAATACAGCTTCCCACAAGCTTCAGGTGCAAGCTCCAGGCAAGCTTGTTGTCCTGGCAGTGTTCTCTGAGACGCAGCCGAGAAGGTTTAGTTTACATTCAGACAACAGGAGAGGCAGAACGCGGAGGCACAGAGCGCTTAGGAGGAAAGTGCATGGCCCAGGCAGGTTTTGGCAGAAGCAATAATCAGGAGCGTTCTGCTGCCGGCAGAGTGTTCTGTGCGACAAGCAGACAAGGACTGACAATTCTCCTCTGGGAGAATGAAAGGGTTAAAAAGGCAAAGAATGAAGCTGTAGAGCACCAGGCTGGTGTGAGCAGCATACAGGCTGCCACTCGCTCACCTGCCAAATTCAAGGTGCAGCCACCTATTCCTCATCCAGCTCTATGTGAAAATACCTGCCCTGACATTTAAGTTCTGAGATCCAGACAGCAGCATGGCAGACACAGCAGAGAACAGGCACAGGGTGCCCCGGTGAGTTAGATGTGACTTACGTGTGGCAATGGGAAGCAATGGCTTTGTCTTCTAGAGGTTATTTGACAAGGGCCACTGCTGGATGTTTGCAACAGAGCTGCGAGAGTGAAAATGTGGCAGTCTGATAGGTGAGAAGGAAGGTGCTCCCGGTGTGCTCCGCGCAATTCAAATGCTGCCAGGAGAAATGGATGCTGTAGGAACATCTTCTGCTATGTGATTTTTCCCTCTATTCTGAACTCAACATTTTTACTCTTCCTGGCTCAACCAGAAGGCATTTAGCCTTGGCATCATTCCTATCTGCCTGGGCCACTGGCAGCAGATCTTATGGCCAGCGCCAGTTCCCAGGTGGGTGGGCTGGGGTGGACCCAACGTATTTACAAAGAGCCCATCAAAAATTCTCTGTAGAACAAACTTAGCCCCTCCAGACCTAAAAGGGCATGGATTTGGGTGCTTCCCCAGAGGAAGGCAGTTCCCAGGCAGCGTTCTGCTGGGTTCTGCTGGGTACCTGCTTTGTGGACTAAAGGCAAGGTCACAGTTACTTGGATCATTTCTTCCTGTCACTGGAGTCTGGGACACAAAAAGATGCTCCACAAGGCAACTGGAATGGTTATCACAGGGTTAAGCTAGTAAGACTAAATTAAAGCTAAATTATATAAATATCTCTAGGAAATATTGGCTGTAACTCAACTGCAAACCCAAAGTGCTAGCCAGGTTTGTTAAATAATCATCATTAAATCAAATACATCGCCATTAGCAACTCATCATGCTTTAAGAACAGAATTCATTTAGCAATATCGTTTAAATTTTTATGAATTTATTTTATAATACCTGGATATCAGAGTAGATTTTTTATGGAGTCCAGAAGCCAAAATTATGATTGCTTTTAGGCTGCAACTAATCAGCTATGAACCACTCTGCCCACTTCCTTGTGTAAGCACAAGGAAAAGTCAAAACTTTCCTGCCAATCTGAGGAATTTTTAGCAAAAACCTGAGATTTTGATAAAACTGTTTACTTGTAGCCATTGTTTTAATTTCAGGAGAACTCCCTTGGTGATAATTTTAATTTTCAGTGGGTTAAACACTCTTGCAGCCTTCTGTGAGTAGTAAATTACTTTAGCTTTGCCATTTTCTGGCACATGGGTACACATTTGTACCTCGCTTTGGGCTGAGTTGTTTCTTTATCCAGACCACATCAAAACAGTGCCCCCATCCCCCCCATCCTGTTCACCCCTCAGCTCTGCATGTCTCTGCTACCTCACCCTGATCTACAGGAAGCTGTATTTTATTTTCTGATGACTCATGGTTCACACAGAACATCATAATTTCCTATTTATGGCACAGTGACCCTTTCCATGGCTCCCCACCCTGGCAGGTTTAAAGCTATCATGGACACTCCTCAACACAGTAACCCTGATCTTTGTGGTTGGGTTTGTTCCTTCACACTACAGGATTTATTCCCAGGGTGTCTCATTCTTTCTTAATGCAGCCTCTGTGACAGTGGTACTGGCACACACAAACATCTCCAGCACCTGGCACACACTGAGTTATTT